CAGGAATGTCTGCAGCATTTCTGTAATACTTCTAGGGCTACGGTCAGTGAAAAAGATCACAGAAAAGACTAATTACAAATATCTAGACTTACAAAGGAAACAAAAGCAGTTGCATTCAGCATTTTGTTTGCATACAAAGCTTCCTCTGTTTGTTATTCGTTAACGTGTGACACGAAAAATGCAGGCATGATTTTCAAAGCCGTTCAGAATTTAGTATCTGCTTCCCACAAGAAGCTTTGAATACTGCAGCCTCAATTCTTTTACTGAACAGACAATATTAGAGATTAATTTACTTTGTAAGATGCCCCGTGAACAGAAAAAAAGAAAAGAAGAAAAAATTAAAATCATTAACATCAAAATAATGCTGAGGTAAAATCCTGACCCCAGTGAAAAAGCTTTGCAGTGATTTCAGCACTGACCGATTTCCACTCCAGTGGTGTAAAATCAGATAAGTAGAAGCTATCACCATAAATGAAGATAAGAAATTAAATGTCTCAAGTCTAGATCTGGCATCCCTATGAAGAGCAGTTATTACCCTGAAGAAAATAATAAAAAGTTATAACAGAAATGTAACTGAAACGGTTGCAAAGTTATATTACTAAATAAGGGCATGCATTACAAAAAGTACAAAATTTACAAAAGTCTACAAAAGACATCAGAATGCACGGCTATTATTATACATATTTTAATAAATTAATGCATTATATCATTCTCAGCGGAATAATTCCTCGTCATCTAGGAAGGAGTTTCACAACAGTCATGTGACTCATTTTTACCCCATCTGGGAAATTCCTCTAACGCAATCTCCATGCTAGCAGAGCACACATGCCGGGCACAAACCGGTATATAAGCAAGATGCAGCGCCCAGACCAGGCATCCGCAACTCTCCAGGACAAGAGAGGTCACTGCTCCACACAACCAGAGCTGAACGATCCAGCAAAAAACTCCCGTCTAATCATGAACAGCAAACTTGTGGCTGTCCTGGCTCTTTTCCTGATTTCAGCGGCTGTGTCTCAAGGCAAGTAAATCCTTCCCAAGATCCCCATGGCTGTAGAATTGTCTAGGTATCTGCCGAGATGCTTCCAGTTTGCTGCAACAAATATAAAGCTACCTCCTTGCAGAGAGGTAGCTTTATATTTGTTGCAGCAAACTGGTTTTCTTTCGAGAGATTTTCAGCACCTTCTCTTCAGTCAGAAATGTACCAGGTAGCGCTTGTACTGAAGAGTTACTGACATCTGGTGGGAAAAATTTTAAGGATGCAACTTAAATTGGCTTTGTTTCTATGTTTCGCTTGAAGAGTGTGCAGCACAGACAGGATCTTCTTCTTGAGCGTTTGAGCATTTCTCTCCTTTCCCACACAAAGAACAGTTTATGATCTCGTATTTGTTACTTAATGTTCATACTGCCTCAAGCAAGTAATATACAGCTGGGAACGGAGAACAAACAATATGAACGTGGAAGCACGGATGAGGCTCAAATTAATGAAAAAATCTAGGGCTCTGTCTTCTGTATAGTTGTCGCTTCTTCAATCCAGATATTAAAATGATGCAACTAACCGTACGGTGTGCTCAGTACCAGTAACCACAAAATGTGTGGCTTTATTTCAAAAAGATGTGTTAATTTAGTTCTAAATGTACTCGGGCATCAGCTCCTCTGAAACAAATGAGCAACTCATCTTTATACCGTGAGGATTTAGGCAGCTTGGACAAATGCAGCATTTTAATTGCGAATATAGTTAAAACAGAGCAGTCCTGCTTTATGTCTGACGCAGCGATGGTACGACCACCTCTCAAACCACGACCTTCCTTTTCTGCTCACAGGTAGGACCCTGGCACGGATGGGAACCGAGCTGCGGTGCCAGTGCATAGCCACTCATTCGAGGTTCATCCCTCCTAAATCCATTCAAGACGTGAAGCTGACACAGAGCGGCCCCCACTGCAAGAACGTTGAAGTCATGTAAGTAGCTCTGCAAGAGCCTCCCTCTTCATCACCGACACCGGGCTTTTAGGCTTCATGACAAGTACGACAGTTAGCAGACTGATGTGATGTAGTCAGAGTTGGGTATTCTTCCGAGAGAGACGGTTTTAGGTAATACAGCATGGTTTTGATAGTCTTTATGACCTTACCTGTTCCTGAACTGATCATTATTTATCTGACATGGGACGTATATTAAATATTTCTGGTGGTAGAACATGAATTTGAAGGACTGGTCAGTTCTTAATACACGAGGTAATAAGGTAGTTTAGATCCTGCATTTATTAGACAGGCAAAACTCCCGTTAAAACAGTCTGCGTCACTCTCAGAGAGAAAAAATTAAGTTCCCACAAGCAGACTTAGGGAAACAATGAAACTAATCTGGTCTCGAATAGCATGGAGGAGGGAATGAAATGTTGAAATCGTTATACTGCTGAAACACCTTTTCACCACTGCAGGTTTCAATCGTTGTGCAAGAAAGCTTTACTAACGTAAACAAATTCAGATCAAGCACCCATATGTATTAAGAAAGATTTTTTGGGAATGTGTGACTGCTTTGAGAGCAGGCAGAGAGACACACAACTTCTGCACGGTTTTAGTCTCCTCACTTGCGGAACACATATAACAAAATGGCCAAGTCTGATCTAGAGCAGTTGGGATGAATTTATACTATCTAATCTGAAAATGCAATATTACATTCTGTGAGTAAAGCAAATCCCTGCAGTAGTTTCCTGACTTTTCTTTATTCCCTGTGTTGCAGAGCTACTCTGAAGGATGGCAGAGAAGTGTGCTTGGAGCCCACTGCTTCCTGGGTACAGCTGATCGTAAAGGCAATTCTGGCCAAGTAAGTCCCATTCCTTCTCAATGTGGGCAGCTGAGTGGTAAACCTCCCCGAAAAGAGCCAATTGGTAGGATTTGTTAGTGCTACTTTCCATTTTCTCTTAATCAGATTGAAAGAACAAGGAAACTTGCTGCCTAATTACAGAATCAGCCTTAGTCTTTCTGACTTTGCTGCAAGGTCCCTGTTCAAGCCGATCCATCACTCCTAAACCTTTGAGTACCGGCAACTCTCTCTGCGGGGGAAGGAACACAGAAGTGTTTGGCTCCCTTTGAAAAACGAGGCTTTAAACAATTCATCCTCCCCTTACTTGCAGTAGCACATGTTAATCATTCGTATTTCCGAGTGAGTGAGTTCCTTGATGTGAGTAAACGCAGAAACTCACGCTGCAGGGGCTTCCTAGCTGGGCACCAGATGTGCACACACTGGGATTTCAGTAACCGCTTTGGAAACTTTGACTTAATTCTCTCTATGCCTCAAGATAGCAGAGATGGACACAGACCACTCATCCTTAACTGTTTGTGCGATGCTAAGCAATGGTAGCTGCTCCCGAACCATTTTTTTAAATTATCCTCTTCCCTCACCTCTTGACAGGGCTCAGTTGAATTCTGACTCGCCACTCTGAGAAACACCAGGACAGAAAACCTCTGGGAACTGCTCCTCTGTTGAGAGAAACATTCAGGAAGAGCACCGTTCGGGCCGTGTACCGTCTTCCACCTCCTGCATCACTGTTACTATGTTAATTATGGATTATGTTATTTATGTATGTATTTATTTATTTATTTAATTGCATGTATTTAAGAAAGTCTTTCAAAATGGGCGGTGTTGTCTGTGGGACACGCTGTTCATTGACACTGAAGACGCCGCATGGGAAAAGTGGCTTGCTAAAGGAAATGAAGAACCCTTGGCAGCTGTTTGGGCCAAATACAACTAGTTAAGTGCAATGCACTTACAGCACAGTTTGTTTACACTAAGCCTTACTATTTTGCTACTATACCAGCAAACTGAGAATTCCTCCTGCTCCCCTGGAGTGCACTAGTATGTTGTGTCAACAACAGTCTCCTGAAGCACAGTCGGCCAGTGGCTAGACTGGGAACTGTGATTTCTGACTTCAAAAATCTAACCTACTGAATCTGTAAGACAGTGAGTTTGGTATTTATTTACTGTGATTTCCCTCATATTTATAAATGTATTTATTGAGTCGTTTCTATACAAGAGATAATAGTATGATAATTTATTTCATTTCTACTGGATCTTCCATTCCTACTATTAATTTCTTCAGAAATATCCACAGTCTTATTGCTCTGTACAAGGACTTGGTTGTATGTCTAATTAGCTACTCGATCAGCTAATGGAAAAAACTGCATCTTATGTATACAGAATTTGCTTGTGAGAGTGTAATTATATTAAATGTTTTCTACAAAAAAAATCTGCTTGTTATCTCTGCTATTTTACATTTTCATTTGCTTTATTTGGAAACAGTCTGCTTCATTTTTGCCAGCTCAGCCTGATTTCCGGAACAGAAATGAAAATTTTTAGTATATGGTACCATAACTCACCCTGTTATGGTAGCCTGACGTTACCGAAGGCAATAGCAGACTCCCAGGGCAGGGTGAAATCCTCGCTCTCCTCTCTTCAGGCTACTCCCACTCCTTGGGGACTGGTGGGCTGTAGGGCAAGGCTCCTTATTTAAGTACCTTGCAGACAAGCGAATTTTACCCTCAGATGCCTAAATACTGCCAGTGACCAGATCAGCCCCAGAGCTGTAAATCTTAACAACATCACAAGGCCACTAGTTGACTATCAAAATGGGAATTCGTCACCTCATATTTGGGTATCCAAATATCAAGGATCTGCCCTTGCGTAACAACTGCTTCCTATTCTGATCCCAGAAATGCAGAGCGCTGAGTACCTGATGCCTGCCTCTTAAAAGGGCCGGCTATTCCTCCCCATCATGCAGAGGCACTGATGCTCAGCCCCTTTGGGAGAGAAGCGCTCATACTGGATATGAACGCCAAGGAAGGATTCTGGCAGATAAACTGGGTTGCTTCACATTGTTACCACCCCATCTCCTGTCCCACGGGGGCTGTTGGGGAGCACAGCTCTCATGGGTGTAATGCATCTTCCCACAGGAGTCCCAGCAGAGTTCATATGACAGTAGTATAAAACATCCGTGCTTAACAATTCTCTGAAATCATCAGCTCAACGTGCAATGGCAGCCAAATGAAAGCCAGCAACATGTCGGGCATCTTCAGGAAGGGAAATGAGAATAAGACAGAGGGCATAGGCTCAAAGCTAGTGTATACCTGTGTATTTGAGCTATGAACACTTTTATTTCACTTTTACCTACGATCTAGATAGCCTTCGAACAGCAGAAGGATTTTTGCCAGGTAACTTTGTGATCATAAAATAACAGAGCTGTCTTCGGCTTGCTTCTTCTTGAAAATCCTTTGCACTAAGATTGATGTCAGTCCTCTCCTCAACCCATATTATTTTGGCATCAGTTGGAGGCCTTCAGCCATTTGAACTCTCAACAATGCGCCCTGTGGGCCTCCAGTTATAAGGCCATGCAGAAGCCATAGGAGCAAACTGCACCCTTTGAAAACATGTGGACTGTTGAGTAAGCGCCTTTGTGTGTGTGTGTGTGAGCGTGTGCATGTCTCTGTAACATACCAGAAGGCTGACCAGGCGGTGAGTAAGAGTCAGGTCGTATGCGCCACAGTGCAAGGAAGGACCCTGAGATTTCACTGCAGCTAACTACGTGTTCTTGTCCATCTTCTCCTTCTCCCAACATTTTGCAAGCTTCTGCTCCCCTTGGCCACATCATTTAGCATCTACGTTGTATTTCTACAAGCCCGTCAGAAGGTCATGCCATTAACATGGCATGTTAATCTGTTGTTAACAGCCGCCATGTGTATTCACCACCTTCCATTCACTTCTCTACTGCCCTCCTTGCTATTCAGTGTAACAGAGGTGTGCACAGGTCCTTTCTGTCCTCGGCGACTTTCTTGGTCCCTTACTTCATCTTCCTTCCAAATGACTTTCACTTTCTTCTTTCACCAACAATTTCAGTTTGGGGGCAAAAGGACAGTAACAACAACCAACCGACCAAGCAACAACCTCGTGTCATTTCCTTACCCTCAAATTCCCCTCCCGTGCTGGGCTGCTGCCGTTCTGCTCTTGTATGGGGAGCCTCTTCAATCATGAACTGTCATTTGTTCCCTCGAGTTTCAATGTTACTGTTCTTACAGTACCAAAAGTATATTTCTCTCTAATGTACACATGCTTCAACCCATAGAGGAAGTCATTGAAAGAAATACTGGAAAGTCCCTGAAAAATACTTTCAACTCTTCCTTTGAAGAATAGAGGATGCAAATACTGGTTTGCCGGCCTCCTCCACTCCTCTGCCTGTGCTGAATATTGGCTAATACAAACATCCTGGTTATGTGTCAGGTGACAGATGCATTATCCACGCTTTAACTGCTTTTGTTTGTGGATTGCTTCCCATTCTGGAAATGACTGCATTCCTTATGTTGTTATCACATTACATGGGAAAATCCCAGGAAAACTGCACATAGCACTGGCTTGATATTGCAGACTTGTTCCACGCGTTGCATTTATTCTTGTTTATAACAGGATATTATGAGCGACTCCACAGGAAATGGATCCTTTGGAAATTATCCAGACTGCCATGGAAACTTCTGGGTTAGCAAATAGGCATTTTGTTTCTGTGTGCAGAAGTGAAACAAGAATTTTGGCACTTACCAAAATAAGCCTGAGATCTCTGTTGTTGAAAACCATCATCAAAATTTGTTTTAATATTACCAGCAGTTAATTATTTTTAATAATAACTGTTAGTGGCAGTGAGTGCACAGATGACTTCACGACTTCTGTGGATTTCTAGAGAGGAAGATACTATGCGTGGAATAAATCTGGAAGGTAGGCTGAGAATCACAATCGCGGAGCGCAATTTGGAAATTAACAAAGGAATAAACTCTTTTCCTTTAGTCAGATCTAATGCTTAGCAAGAGTCCAAGTGCAAACTCTCTACTATTACAGCTGCGTATCTCTAGTACTTACAATGCATTTTCTTCAAACCCGTCCTACTTTTGGCCAGCTCAGCATCCTGTGACAATGACTTTCTACCCTTTAATCACACACTGTAGTAGTACATACATTTGGTTGCTTTCAACATGACACATTGAAAGCAATATCATTTTCTCATATTTTCCCTTTTTTTTCCCATAATTCCTTTCTAAATGCTTCCTAAAACTCTAGACGCCTTTCTGACTGCCATAAGACGCTGTACACAGTTCTATAAAACCATCAAACCTGTGACACGTAGATCTATTTCCCCAGTGACAATAGCTAATTTACAGGTCCCTCTGCACATATACAGTGAGGTTATAACTAGGCTCACTGGTACTAAATTTCATCTGCCCTTTCATGGGACAGGCAGCAGTGGGACATCTTTCCACAACTTTCTGCAGGCAGATTTCAATGTAGCTATGCCAAATATTTTGCAACATTAACAAACATCATTGACTTTAAACAATTATCAACCTCTGAAAGGTCCAACTATCTTATTCCATGAAAGTTAAAATTCAAGAGGAACATGACCAAATTTTTTGGCAAAAAAAATAAATACTAAGTTGATCAGATCCCACTTGCCTGTATTTCCATGGACTCAGCCAATGACCCTAGCGGATATTTGAAGTAAGACTTTTCCCTCCAAAGGGCACGTGGGCAATTCCAGGATCAATCTGTCAGTTTCTCTTATTCCTTACTGGATGGTAGGTAAACTAGGGAAAATATACTACTTTTTTTCCTTGGCAGGTAACAATTTTTCATACATAAACACCTTACAAAAATCGTTGGGAATAAGAGGTCATTAGATAAGTAGCTTGTTTTGAGAGTACATTTGGACCCAGTTAATCACCTTACTTCCAAATGGGCCTTCAGTTTTTGAGAAGGCAGCGGAACAAGAAGAGTTAAGCAGCTTTTCCGACACAGCTAATACAAAATACCAGAATGCCAAAACTAATTTTTAAGCACTGAAGCAACACTCACACCGAGCTCCTGAGATTAATGATTTCTAACTTTTCCTTGCAACTATTTTCCAGAATGATGAAAGCTCCATAGCTCATGAAAGGACCAAATTAATAAGTCCAACCTCTTAGCCTGGCTTTTTTATTGAAGATATATATTACACGCTTCCACAGAAATTATGAGACTTAAAAAATACTGACAATTCTTCTTTTCCTCCTCTTTTTTTGAGGCCACTTTTTTTCAAGATTGCAAGCAGACAAGAGACTCAGAAATCAACTGTCCATGCTAAAACCAAAATGTCAACAAAATTGTAAAAGCTGGAAATAATCACCATTTCTATTTACCTTTAGGGAGCTCCTCTGTAAATGTTTCTGTCGCATTTGTTGACCTTTTTATTACGTAAGGATATCATGGAGCAGGGAGCCTTCCCTCATATCCAGGGGCACGGACACATATTTCACCTTTTTCTCAGCCCCAAAGTCAGTGCAATGAATGTATTTATAGTCCTTGGACCCATATCTGTTCTTTCTTCACAGTTTTGTTTGGCTACAAAAGTGGGATCACGACACAAGTATGAAAATGCTGAAAGCATCTTGAACGAACTACTAGCATTCCGAGGACTAAGAAAGAAAAATGCCAGGCAAATTAAAGGAATCGGGCGGTGCCAGGGAGCACTTGCCTCCGGGAAATAATGAATGACTTAAGAGAAACTAAAACATAGGCAGACAGTAGGAAGATAAACCTTAAATA